GGGGTGGGGACTCCAGTTTCCTTATCAATAAAACGAGAGTGTTGGACCACGTGGCCTTAAAGATGTCTTTCAGCTGTGACATTTTAGGGTCTGCCTTCAGAATTCTCCTTTTCACCTGTATCTTTAGAACTACACATCGACGGTCTCCTGATTCCAAAGTTGACGCCCACTCTGGATCATCTCATGGAATGAGATCAAATGAAAGCCTTCCTAGGGAGCCATTTACACTGAAGTGTATGCCAGTGGCGCCTATTGTGGCCACTCGAAATGGCGTTATTGCCCTTCTGCCTCGGGGGTGGGCGGCGAGGGAATAGTAGGGACAGGGGAGAGGGAATGAAGACTTAATCGCACCACCTGTCAGGCTGAAGAGCAGAGAGCTAGTTTTGAGCAGCCAAGGTTGCTGGGGTCAGAAGGCAGGACAAGCAGAGCTTTCAGAGCCGGGGACGATTGCCGAGAGAGAACCCGGTCTGTGTTTCTGCTCTGAAGAGCTTTTCACTCTTGCTGGGCCCTTGGAGGGTGGGGACCAAGGAGAAAAAGCTCTTCCTAGGCAGTGAAAGAAAAAAGGTTGACTTGGGTGACCTGCCCCCTACTGTGGCCCAGTGTCCATACAGTTGCCGCAGGGCCCTGGAATTGTGGGTGGTGTCTGAGCAGATTTGGCAAAATCTTGGTGGGTTGTCTAGAGGAGCTGAAGACTAGAGGGAAGAGGCCTTTGGCACAGGGTTCCGGTGCATCCTCAAGGGGGGAGTCTGCTCTGCCCAAGTGCTGTAACAGTGACTTGTACCCTGTCTTGTCCTCTTGGTCCCCCAAATTAGTGCAGAACTGGATAGTTACAGCCACCAAAAACACTTAAAATATAGATTCCTGGCTGCTGGGTCCTAAATCCCAGTTTAGTAGGGCTGGGGCCAGGAATCTGTATTTTTCAAAAAATTACCTACACTAAAGTAATAGAGAATTTTTATTAATTTCCTTGAACTTGACAATAATCTTGTGGATATAGAAGAATATGACTTTATTCTTATGAGATGCAGACAGAAGGATTCACCAGAGGTGATGTGTGATGATGTTTGCAACCTATATACATATAGTTTAGTGAAGTGCGTGCATGAGTGTGCATGTGCGCGTTTATGTGTGTAAAATGAATATAGTGAAGTGTTAACAATTGTTGAATTTAGGAGTTGGGTATGTTGGCGTTCACTGCACTATTTCACCTTTTCTTTACTTAAACATTTTTATACTCTACTATTTCACCTTTTTTCCACCTTTTCCCCCTTCTTTATTGAGATATAATAGACAATTAGTTGCATGTATTTACATTGTACAATTCAATGAATTTTTTTTTTTTCAATCATAGTTGGCATATGATAATATGCCAGTTTCTCACTTAAACGTTTTTATAGTTAAAAGAAGGATAAGCTTCCCAGGAGACTCCAACGTCCCCTGGTTTAGAAGCTGCCGTGGGAGATTTTACTGAGCTCCATGAGGCCAGCATGTGTCCGTCTTCCAACTGTCCTACAGCACAAGCCTGAGCAGACGGTGAATGAGCTCCTGTCCTCCCAGGCTTCCTTTCCCCTCCTTCTCTTGATTTTCTGGGCTGCTTAGCAAATCATTTCTGATTCACTCACGAGCCTGGTTCCTCTCTCTTGCCGAAACGCCCTCTCGAGCCACCCCCGTCTCGGCAAGGGCCCTTGATGGAGGGCCAGTGCTCCGATGACCAGCACCACAGCTGAGATCTTCCTGTGCGTACAGAGCCTGACCCTTGCCTAGCAAGGGGGTGCCCAGAGGCCTTCTCTCAGGGCTGACTCTGGCTCCTCTCAGTCTGCAGGGCAAGTGTGGGCAGCCTTCACTGCCTGAGGTCACTGCCTCCCAGCCAAGGCAGAGGGAGCTAAAATTAGCTGGAGTTGGCTAAAGAGAAAGCTTGCTTAAATGGACAGTCCATTAACTTCCCCTCACTTCCCTGGGCCCTGGGCCCAATTAGCCCTGACTAATTAGCTGACCAGATGGGGTTCAGAGGCGATGGAGGCCAGTGGTCCAGAGCTGCTGCCAGCCTGCGTCAGAGATTGTGCTCTCCCAGAAGAGAGGCAGGACTAAGTAGAGAGTCAGCTCCAGACAAGCTCTCTCTGCTCCACCAGCCATGTCATCATTGTCAGAGGCCAGGCACAGACGCCCCAGAGGCTGGTAGGAGTTTTCCAACGTGGTGCGGAGAGAATGGTGGGGCAGGGAGCTGATTTAGGTGTGCATAACCCACCAGCTCTCCGGGGCCCCCTAGAACCTTCTCTTCCATCTACAGTGCACAGTGGGATCGACCTGGTCACTGCAGGAGAATGAAGAAGCTGGGTGAGGAGGCCCAGGAAAGTTCTTCTAGGGTCACTGACTCTCCGGAAGTGCTCCAGAATGTCCCTTCCTGCGACCAGGGCAAGAGCTCACTAGTCGTGGCAGATGTGGGGGGCAGGGCTCCTTAGGTGGGTCAGGCGGAAGAATCCAGGGTTGGGGGGAGAGCTGGTGTTCCCTCGCGGCTGCAGGGTAGCAAACGTCCGCTGCATTACCCCACACTTCCTTCTCGTCCTCTCGCCCCCAAGGCCCCTACTCCACCTCTCTGGGTCCCTTAGAGCTACTGAGGTGATGTCACAGCAGCCTCAGTCCCAGTTCGTCAGTCTCTGCTGGTTCGGAACAGCCCCTTCCCAAGCCCCCCGGCAGGCAGCCCAGCCACCCCCCATCTCTCGGCCCCGACTTACGATCCCAGCACTTCCATGAAGATGAAGGTTTTCCGGATGTTCGTGGTCTGTTTCTTCCAAGAACTGCAGTCATCTTCTTCCTTTCGACCCATTGCCTCCAGAGTTGAAGCTTCCGGGGATGCTTTGTTTGAAGAAAGGGAAGACGGGGGCTGATCAGCTAATTTCTCGAATAAGATGAGAATAAGTTGCAAACAGAATTGAAAATACTCACATCCTTCATGTAACAAGTAGAAGGAAGGAAGAAGAGCAAAGCCTGGATAAGACTATTCTTGCTTTTTAAATTTCTACAACAAATTTATTAAACATCTGCTGCATGCCCGTTGTGCTTGCCACGTGCTCAAGGGGTTCAGAGCATAGTCTAAGTGGAAACTCTGCTTTGCAGAGTTTAAAGGCAATAACACGTGCACATACAGATTAACATGGGAACGTCCACCTTGGGGGGATCTGAGCTGAGCTGAGGCGTTTCCTGTGTGGCCAACTGATCACCAAGGTGTTTATTCACGTTACTGAGTCAGGCTGACTTCCTGTTTTCCAGCTTCCCCACCTCCTCCGATGATTTCTATTCCCGCCTCTCTCCTACCTGGTTAAGTGAATGAATGGTAGATGAATGAGCATTGTTTCCTCTGTGACTCCCACAGCATTTAGCACAGTGCTGGGAAAATAGTTCCTTAAAATCCAAACTGAATCATGTCCTAACTTTAATATGAGAGTCCTGGAGTCACCACACTCACTCAACAGTCAACACCTGTGCTGTGCTGAGTGCTGGGTATGTGCCGATGGACAATACCATGGACAATGGCTCTGCCTTCCTTGGGTGGGGAGGCCTGAGGACACAGGCAATGAGCAAGTAAACCGATGTGTGCACAGTGACAAGTGTGGGGAAACCATGAAAGGACAAGACCCAGGCTTGTAACGAAGACAAACAGGGCAGGTCTTCTTTAGATGAAGGTCAGGGGAGGCCTCTGAAGAGGTCGTATTTCAGCTGAGACCAGAAGTTTGAGAAAGAGCCAGCAATGTGTGAAGGAGCATTTCGGCAGAAGGAATAAAATATACAAGTCCACAGCAGGGAAGGGCGTGAAGGGGCCGAAGGAAGAGTGGAGCTAGACAGTGTGAACTCCGCATGGCATGGCCTGGCGAGTGGGCGGGAGAGGCGGGCAGACAACCGTCCTGAGGAGGACTTAACGGACTTCGTTAGAGATACTGGGTTTTCTTCTTAGTGAGACCTGAAGACACTGAAGGATTTTTAGCAGGAGAGTTAAATTACACCGCTGAGGTTTGGAAGAGCTCACGTTAGCTGCTCTATGGAGGATGGAGTGGAGGGGGCGAGACTTGATACATGGAGAACAGGTAGGGGGCAGAAACCTGCGAGGGGTATGATGGTGGCTTGGACCATGGTGGTCGGGAAGGAGAGAAGTGGGGGGGCCTGGGATATATTCTGGGGTCCAATGACCTATGATACTAGGTGATGTGCCTCAGGTGGGGTGAAAGAAGTCTAGACTGACTCTCATGTTTCTGTAGGAGCACCCCGGGGTGATGATGCTTTTTCTGAGGTGAGTACTAGGGAGAAGCGTGTTCTCGGGGTGTGGTTAGGGGGGTTGGAGGGACTCTCTGTTCCTTTGGGTACTCTGCCCTAGCTAGCCCACTACAGCTGGAGGGAGGGGCACTGAGTGTCTGGGAATAGTGGGTGAAATGCATTTCTGCCAGTGCCCTCTCCCCCAAACCTGACAGAGAAGTAAGAAAGTGTATCTAATGGCTGCCCCTCTAAAAAAAAAAAAAAAAAGATTCCGGTAGAATCCATGGGGTCTTCTAACAGATTCAGGACAATGAGAAAGTTTGTGCCTTCAGAATTCAGCATTAGGTAAAGGCATAGATTTGAAGGTCGACCTGAGTTCAAATCCTACCTCCACTCATTACTAGTTAAATGGCCTTAAGCAGGCTCATGTCCTCTTTGGGTCCGTTAGCTCATCTGTAAAATGGGGACAAGGCCCCTATGGTTATGGTGAAGAGTAAATAAAATGGTGTCCATAGAGACTTAGCACGTTGTCTCACACGTCTCAAACAGCTGTAAAAGATAATGCTTAGGGGATAGTAAATCGATGTGTTTTCATTCCTGGTGATCCCCGTCTGGAGGACTCGTGTCATAAAATAGGTTCTACCGCGTAGAAGGAAACCTCTTCAGTCATCGAGACACAACTGTGGGCTTAGACCCTGGGAGTAAGAAGAATGTGACACAAGTGAGGTCCTTGCTAGAGAGGACGAGGCATGAAAAGACTGATACTTTTGACCCTAGTGGACACTGGGAAGGAGATGGGGAGGCAGAGGGTGTAGTTGTCAGGAGCACACGTCTTTGCTAATATCCATCCGGGAACGGGGAGGTTGGTGATGGGATGGCTGGGCTTCCCAGGATGCCGTGGCTGGGAGACGAAGCCGAGGGGAACTCTGACTGCAACCACATCTGCGAGAGCAGAAAGCAGTGACGGGGCAGGCCCAGCGGGGAAAAGCTGAGTGAGATGCTGTCGCACGAACTGCAGAAGTTCCCCAGGGCCTGCGGGGGCGGTGCTGGAGCCAGCTCGTACTCGCTCAGACAGGTGACTGTGCACGTCTTCCAGCTTCCTGGCCTCACGCTGTTAGTGTGAAATTGGCTACGGTGGGAGGATTTAAAGTATGGAAACAAGCAAATGCTACAATCAGAGCTTCACACCGCGCCTCCCCTCGCCCTCCGAGAACCAGACATTAAATATTTGCCAGCTCCCCTTTGCCTATGCCCCCAGTGAGGGGATGCATTGCACTGGAGGGAATGACAACTGGAGTCTGGATGAAGAGACGGGTACGGTCAGGGCATCTATGGTAGAAGCAAATGGCTGGGATCAGGGCCTTTGGTGGAGGGGGTCGGCACGATGCTCCATAGACCACATGGGACCAGTCACACCTCAGGTCACTATTCAGCCTCTGGTGAGATCCCAGACATCCGGGATCTGAGGTCCCTGGTAAGTCTGAGGCCCTTTCTCCCATACTACAACTAAGTCAAGTAAGCATCTTATAACATAAAATGCCACCTTGAACTTGAGCGGGGGAGGATAAAGGCCATCTCAAGGTTGTGTATTTTCCTCAAAGACACTGGGTCAGCTACATGAGACTATTAAACCTGAGACGTTATAATGGACAAGTTCAAACACAGAGTTTCCCATTTCCATTTTGCTGACTGGTAGGGTAAGATTTTATAGGAAAGGAAGAAGCTACACTTACTTTGCATCTTTTAGTGTAGGGTGTAAATTTGCAACTGGGCTATATAATAATTGGTGGCTATTATTATGAAAAATACATGTGAGAAACGTTAAGAATTCCTTAGCATTTGATATAGCCAAATGTAGATATGGTGGCCTGTGCTTGTATCTTCAGGCCCATTTGCTGATTTTCTCCTACTGGCGGGGTGGCAGCTCAGAGGGACCACAGTTGTTCAGGGCCCAGGCACCGGTCCGAGGAGGACTTGCCAGCAGTGCAGTGGCAGGCTGACCCTGGACTTCGAGGGCACAGTCTGCAAGGTGGAGACAAATGGACACTGACTGGCAGAGACTGCTTTGAGGAAGATGAAATATTAGAACAGGGAGCTATCTTTAGCCAGATGCCATTCTGCAGATTCTTAGCCTCAGAGCTTCCACTGATCGGAGTGGTTGACATTTGGGCCTGGACCAAATGCTCCTTACTATGTAGACATTTGGTAGCTGAGAAGTCTTGAAGAATGTAGGGGATGAGGGCAAAGTGGTGGATGTTAAAAGGGGCCAAATCAAGAGGGTTAATTTGTGTGTCTCCTTCTCTGTCTCTCTCCTCCTGCATAGAATAAGAGGGCGCAGACACCGCTTTTCCAGGCAGGGAGCCCATCAAAAGCCTTTCCAGCTCAGGCCCATTGGCTGGGCAGCATCCATCACTCCCCCTTCTGGAGCCCCCGTGGAATGACTGCGTGCTCTCCAGGAGGCATCTCCATCTCATTATCAGATCTGTACTCACTGTTCCTTCTTTCCCGTCTCTTAAATAGCTTGAAAACATAGTATTCTTAGCCTAAGCCAGGCTATAAGAAAACATCTTTCCCGCCCACCCCTCCTCCCATACACTCCATTCGAACTATGTAGTTCCATCTTCAGAGCTATGTGGAAGAGTCGGGGGCCCAGATCTGAAGCCCTGCTTCATTTTCACCCCTCCTTGACCTCAGAGGAACCTCAAGGCCGCTGTGCCCTGTGGGGGGGAGAGCTAACGGTGGGCCCGCATTCCGATGCTGCGTCCTGCTCTTTCTCTTAAAGCCCCCCACCTCCACCTCCATTCTTGACTTCTGCAATCTAGCCTTTCAAAGGGAAAGCCAACAAATTCTGAGAAGGCTGACACTCCAATATTGCTCTCAAAGTACTCCCTACTTCTCTATTTCTGGAGACAACCTCTGTTGGGCTTTAAAGCTCCACAAGAGCCACTGACGACTTCTCTGAGATTCAGAGCTGATTTCACATGCACAGCTCAGGAGATGTCGAGGATGTTGACATTCAGGGCTGGTTCAGGCCCCTCATTCCTCAGTAGGGCCAGAACCTCACGAATATTCTGTAAAAGTGTCTCCTGGCAAAGGAAATAACCTTATTACATGGAATCATTTTTGAGTTGTGGAGGTAACACTTCTTCACTCCACAAGCACTTACTGAGTACCTCCTGTATACTCACTGGACTAGATACGGGCATTTCTATGATATGAGGCTACTCTGGAAAGTGCTTACCATCAAGCTGGAAAGACCAAGCAGAGGTATAGAAATAAATACCTGAAAACACAGAGCAGTCGACAGGAGCTGGCCAATGAATGGGCACATTGGGTCAGCACCAAAATGGCTCAGAGGTCCATGGTCGGCCGATTGCTTATGTGTGGGTTTCCCGCAACACAATGCGAGCGCTTAAAGGGCGGGAGCCACGGATTCCTCATCTGGGAGGCCCCAGTGCCTGGTCCAGAGGCTGGACACACTGAAGGTCCAGCCCACATTTATGATGTGAGTGATGAGGCGGAGAACCTGGGGACGGTGGGGGGCGCGTTAAGGAAGGCTTTGCGGAGGAGTTGGATGAGATGGGTGTTGAAGGGTTGGGGGATGAATT